TATTCCTTCTCAAGGAATATACTGGGATCCAGCAAACGGTTTCTCTTAGAGTATTTGGTGGTTCTTTGTTCAAAAATAAAGTCTTTTCTTCAAAAGTACTCCAAAAAATGTATCTTCTTACCATCTTTTTCAACAAATTTTTCGTGGTTTGTATGTATGAGCTTCACATAGAGGGCACTAATTTGTTGATCACGATTTTTGTAATGGTTACGTGGACAATAGATATCGAGCCCACTCGCGTCCACTCAAGCAAGTTACAACACATTTTGATCGAAGATTCGAACAGAAAAGGGTTGGCGTTGATGAACGTGGGACATGCTCTATGACGTGAGACGAAAATGTTCGAACACCGACTATATGGTTGAAGATGATTTTGCAAGCAATTACAAACAACTCAAACAAGGTAAAAATAATCCAAACTCAATCAAATGAATATAGAATTAACAAGAGAGGAGATCGTATATGTCTTTAAGTATAAAGGGTAGCATTATTCACAAATGTTAAAAGAATTGCTTATTTATAGAGTCCTGGCCAACGTGTTAGCCGCTGGATAAGAATCACGTCGCCTCATCCCTCAAGATACTCTACATTTAATATATTGAGAATGAGTCACCATCCTATAACATAGGCTGATAATCTTAACATCCATTATTTTAAATGCTACATCAATCATTCCTAAAAATTGCCTACATATCCTTTAAAAGACAGGAAGTGTTTCAGCCTAAAAGGAGTTTCGGATCAAAGAGCATCAACTTCTTTTTTGACTTCTTTATTTTGCCCAATTGGGTATTTGTTGAGTCAGTCAGATTTGACTCAATATCTCCACGTGGACTACAACATGGTTTCCACTAGGAGCCTCGATGGCGAGGCATAACAATAGTCTCCCAAGTCTATGTATATTATTTATGTAATCCATGGATTTCAGTTATATAAAAACAAAAGCAAAAAATTTTGTTGGGGTGATTATTTTGTCAACATCTTATTTGTACAACACCACACATGTAATTCATTCGATGGCCAAGTGAAATTTAATTCTTCACAACGACACGCTATAGAATTAAATCCTTACACACAGACCAGTTTAAAGCACTCCGCGTGCACCAGTACCACTACACATGAGGCGTCACTCTTTAAGGCAAGACTGTTCACCTCAATTGATCAAATAGTCAACCATAGGATATTATCAGAAAAAAATGTCAACCTATACTATCTAAAAAAAAAACTTTTGTCAACTGATCATGGACTAGTTATATTATATCTAAGTAATTGAAGGAGCTTAATTGCTTTCTCAATTATTAATACCATGCAACATTTATTCCATTAACCGAAGTAAATGAATAATAAAATGTAGTATTTATTTAAGTGACAAACAAATAGTGAATCCATTTCAGCAAAATAATAATTTGTAGAAGACAAGCTAACATGTTACAAACCAATTTTTTAAAATTCAAAGTCAAGGTTGAATTGTCAAGGTCAAGATCAAATATGGACTTAATTGGAATAATTTTTTTTGGGGCTTTATGTTATATTTAAGAAAATTGAGGGTTAAGATGGATTAAAATTGTAGTGGGGGACTTACTTATACATCATATGATAGTTGAGGGACTTCCTATGCAAATAGCCCATAAATTTACCAATTTTAAAACCCATTTCCCATTTTCATACACCCCCTACACGCAAAGACCAACTGACCGAGAAAAGAGAGGAAAGAAAGGGGAGAAAAATAAGGAAAACGGAAGAAAAAGAAGAAGAAAGAGGAAGGAAAAAGGGAAGAAAAGGTAAGTGTTGATTTCTCCATTTTAGGTTTGATTTATCTTAATTTTTTTCATGAGATAAGGAGTATATATTGTAAATTTTCTAGGGTTTTAACTTGGTTCAAAAATTTCAAATGTAGGTAAAAGATCATGATTTTTAGTTCAAGTTTCTTGATGGTTAGCTTCCATTTACATTTAAGGTAAGAAACCTTATTTTTGGGCAAACCCTAGAAATTTTAATTGGATTCTTAAGTAAGGATTTTTGTGGAAAATGATTGTGATGATGAAAATTTACTTGAAAGTATATATTTATGGAAGAAGAGGAAAATTTAATGGGATGAATTATGATTAATAGTTGTCATTAGAGTGAAGTAGATATTTGTATATATACTCGAAATTGAAGGTTTTGTTGATGAGTTGGTCATTAGTAAATGGACTAGAAAGTGATATTAGCTCCAATGGGTTAAATGAATAATTTGGGGAATTTATTCGAGTATGGAGGAATTAAGTTCTAAGAGCTTGTATTTTAAGTTTAAGACTACTTATTATGGTGGTGGTTAAATTGATTATTCATATCGTATTTCAGGTGGTGACGAGGAGATTGGAAACGTCTATCAACCAGTTTAGCTTGTAACTCGTATTTTGTGAGTGGAAAATTTTATTTTTCAGAAATAAATATTTATTAAATATATACTATATCCGAAAGTTAATTATCACATATATTTAATTTGACAGCATGGTTTCCAAAATCAAATGGATTTTATAGTCAATTTCTTTTTAAAGTTAAATCAAGTTCATTGAAATTATTTCTCTAGCATGTTATATTCATATTATATATTTCAGCATATTTATAGTTATTTTAAAA